GAGAATGTAATATATAATAAAGGTAGAATTAAACATCTCTGATTTCTACTTTCTCCCCATTAAAGGTGGCCAGTGTTTTCTATTCTTCATTAACATTTAAAATGGGTCAGAACATTGGTCTCCCACTATTGACAAGTGTCCTCAGCAGAGAATTCCATAATGTTGTCTTAGAGGAACCTGCTTGTTAACTAAAACCCTATCCTTGGCTAGTGTTTTAAATCCTCTGAAATGCCACAGAATGTTACCTATAGGCTTCATGTCTTTTGTGAGATATGAGAAACTTCTCCAGATCTCTTCCCTGCCTTGCTAAAGGACATCTGTGGGATAAGTATCTGGTTTAGGGGATGTTGATAGTTCAAACTATCTCTGTTTCATGCTATCATTCCTATAAACATCTCCAAAGCTGTCTCTCAGGTTTCCAAGGGAAAGGGACTATAACTTCTCATGTCTTCATATCCATCTATGGGGTATCTGTTACCTACTTCCCTTTCTTGGGGCTTCAAAAATAGGGAATATCATTTTCCCACATCCAGTTTTGTCCTCTCCCTCTGCAAGCCCGGTGTTTTCACTAGAAAGTTTCATGGTATTCTATGGGATGTACCATTAGCTGCCTCTAGCTCACAGCTTAAACCATTCTCTAGTTTATGGTTAACTGTTATAAATTCTATGATCTAGGTCTCTAGAATATTTCTGGGCAAGCCCCTTAGAAATTAAAAATAAAACCATTTCCTTCTCAAAAACCTATCTTTTTCAATTCAGAGTTGTTTGTTTTGAGCACATTGTATTTGCTGTAAGTTCAAAAAATTTGTTGGCATTTAAAATTTTTTATTGTCTCTCTTCTTGATTATTTCTTCCCTCTTATCCTAAAGCAATAAAGGTAACTGATCAAATGATTAGAGAAAAAAAGCAACAAGTATAATTCAATGAGGTAATAACTTTGGTTTAAATTTTCCAGATACCATGCCATAGCTAAACACTTGGCTCTGTCAATTCTACTTTTTATATTTTTAATGGATGCACACTTGTCTTTCTATTTGCACTGCCACCATCTTCATTCAGGCCATTGTCATCTGTCCCAGTTAGTATCTCAGAGGAATCATTATATATAATTGTATAGGAATGTATTTATTACAGAGTACTGTTTATATTAGTTAAAGAAAAGGTGAGGAAAAACTCAATTAGCACCTGGGAGTAGACTGGCTAAATAAATTATGTATAACCATAACACAATGGTATACGATAAAGTAATGTGTACAAAAGCTTTCACTTAGTATTTAACAATTAAAATCAAATTACAAAAGATTATGAAAACATTGACGCACATGTATATGAGAGAGAGAAAACACATAAGTATATGCTTTGTGATAAGATTCATTCTCTAGGAGATGAAATTAATAACTGTATTTACTTTTTTACTTATCTGGAATTTCTAATTTTATAATTTTATAAAATGAGCACTTGTTTTCATTGTTCAGTAAGAGTCTGATTTGTTTTGTAAACAAACTGGTTAACTTTAATCAGAAAACATTAATTTGGCATATGATGACTTGAGACTAGCAGCCTTCATCATATTGTACTACCAAGTTTAACTCCATTTGTGACCAGTAACACTATCTATTTACATGTAAAAGGAATCCAGTATTTTCAGGATATAAAAATAGAACAGATGTTTAAAATCTGACATATTGAGGTAACGCTATAATGCTACGAGAAAATATTCTCATATGGAGGTTTCACTTCGTTTAATAGCAGATGCTTCAAAATTGTTGCTGTTCATTAAGACAGACAGTTTTTCTACAATATCTATTATTTATTCCTCCTGCTTTTTAGCCAGGTGAATCAGGACTTAGAATAAAGTCTGCATTCTTATGCATGTCCTACTCTAAAGTTTTGTGTATCTAGTGATTAAATTTTAAGGGCATACCAGATGCTGTTTTTAAAAATTCCAAATATTGTCTATAAAAGGAAATTCCGTGTTGTCTTTCTTTTTCATACATACTGACTGAAAATGAAAAGTTCAGTTGAGATCCAATGGTCATCTTGAAATTAGCTTGGAAACAAGTCACTCAAGTTGGGCAGAAAGATATATGTGGCTTAGACTCCAGATTTCAAGTGTGCACCTATGTTTCAAGGTGAATGATTTTCAAAGGTATGTAATCACTTCTAAATTTTCCACTAGGTTTTCAACATCTGATGATGGCACATTCATACCATGTGTGTAACCCAACTTTCCCTTGCTTTAACAAAATAACTGGGATAATCTATTTGCAAAGAGGAAGGACTTATTCTGGCTCACAGCTGTGGGGTTTCAGTCCATAGTCTGTTGGCCTTGTTGCATTTGGAACTGTGGTAAGACACCATGTCATGGTGGGAATGCTTGGCGGTGTTAAGCTGCTCACTTCAAGGCCAGTACACAAAAGAAGGGGCTGGTTTTCTACTATCTCCTCTCCCAAAATTAGTGCTCCCAGTGACCTGAAGACCTTTCACTAGATCCTACCTTTAAAGGATTCCAGCACCTCCCTATATCCCAATAGTACTAAGGTAGGAACCATGTCTTGAACACACAGGCTTTTGGGGACATTCCAGATCTGATGTAGCACCATGACTGTTATCAAAGTCCTACTGACTGAAATAAGAGGCCAAAAGAAGCTAATGCTGGTTCATAGAAGAAATGTAATGATTCTCATTCTTCTAATATGAACAAGGTAGAAAAACTAGGTCATCTTCTCATCCTTTTTTCTCGCCACAATTTGCATTCTCATGTAATCTATACTGTCAATAAATTCTCTCAAATATTAATGAGATTTTCCACATTTGCTTTTTAGGTCTTTTGTTTTTTGGGGTTTTTTTTTCATACTGGGGATTGAACTCATGACCTTGTGCTTGCGAGGCAGGTACGGTGCCAAGAAGCTAAATCCCCAGCCCGCCACATTTACTTTTTAATTTTCATACTACTGGTTCTCATGTCTTTTAAAAAAATTTTGTAGTGTCCTTGGAGAATCCTATGAACACTAGTGGATCATTTTTCCCAGGGGAATAAATGAGCATCTATTCAAAATTTCACACATAGTGTTCATGGGAACAGGAAACCACCAAAGTTCAGGTATATATGAAATTTATGTGAAGTGATCCTGGTTTATAGCTCTATATTTTTTCTGTACAGTTGCACTAGTCTTTACATATGTACAGGAATTCTGTATAGACTCTCATTTCAGCATTCTCTACCCAACTCTTAATCAATAGGAGTGTTAGTCAATCGGCTAAGAGTTTTTACAAAATGCACCTGTACGTTCTTTAAACTGTACCTGCTGAGTCAGAATTTACAGGGCAAGAAGAATGATGTGTCTTCATAAAGCTTTCTTGATGGTTCTGATATATTCTCTGGATTGATGTCTTAAGCCATGCTGATTGGAAACAGATGAATCTTGCCACTTAAATCCTTGTATTTGGCCCCAAACATTTAAAGAGATCCTAGTCTACTACATTGTGAAATTCCACCATCAAGAGGAAAACCTCTGTGAACACTGCAGGTCCTTCACAAACTTTGCTTATACTTCAGTAGGCACCCAGATAACAATTGTCTGACAAATGCACTAACTTTTACACAAAATTCAGTGCCAAGCTCCTAAAAAGAACTTTACACTAATAAAGTATGAAGTTATTTCTACCTCACTTGGATTGAGTGATTAAAAGCTGTGTCAGTTTAACGTCTGAAACTACCTAACACAATTAAGTGCTTGTTATTCATCACTGACTGTAGAATATTTAAAACTTAATACTTAAAACTTTCTTTTAATATGAAAGAACATAAAAGTACAAATATTCTTCATAGAATTTTAGGTTTGAGACCTGCTTAATTGAAGTTCAAAATCACTCAATATTTGATATTATTTATTATTAGATAATCAAAGCCTAATTCTGTGTTTACACAGCTTATATCTTTAAATCCCAGAACATGTCACAAACATTTTTAAAACAAAGTAAGTACTACTACTATCATTTTGAAAACTATCAGTGTACCCTAGTTAGAGTAAAATCTGGATTATTAATGATATTTTCTAATATAAAATTTACAAGTTAATTTTTATATTAAGAATGAATATAGAAATAATAAACTAGTTTTCTAGCTAAAAAAAAGTCACAATATAAAATTCAAATAATTCTATGATGATCATGAAAACCTCAAATCTCAAGAAGACACAAGAAGAGACTTGAAGTAGTAACACAAGATTTGTGAAATGAAATTGATTTCCATTCAAATCAGGTCTTTTACTCTTCTTGAAAATGTCAGCGTGTCAACCTTGGCCATTAGGAAATTGTGATTTATAGTTGAGACAAAGTGATAGCACCAGCTGACTGTCTGGAGCCACAGTATAGTGTCTGGAAAGGCTGTTGATGACAGCCATCCTTTTCCTTATCCAATCAGCAAGGCTTAAAGAAGACCTGGGTCTTTTTTTCTCCATCGTGATAAAAGAATGATAAAATACAATCTAGAAGATTGACTCTGTGGGAAATAAACAAGCATTGTATGGGGAAATAGGTATCATCCTGCCACAGAATAAATTACAAACATTTGTGGAAATCTATATTTCAACTTTTTAGAAACACATATTCATAAGAGGACAATAAAAATATGTTCCAAATATGACAACTTATTTTAATAAACTAGAAACTACAGCATAATTTTGTGATTTGATTAATTAGTAAGAATAATTGTGAATGTTAAAATAAATTTTCAAACTCTAAGTTACATTTATTGTTTTTCTCATTTGCATCATAAAAAACAAATGTTTTATATTAGAATCATTACTCATAGCAAATTAATCTTTTTCTCAGAGGAAGATCTCTAAAAAACAGTTATTGATAGTAAAATGTTAAAAGCTTCCAGGGTTATATTATGAGAAACAATGTTGCTAAAAAGTAAAGCATAAAGTATAAGAATCTACCAACCATATATATATATATATATATATATATATATATATATATATATCTCACAGTGAAGGTTAGAAATCAATTCATGAACGAAGAATTTCCAATAATTAGCAATAGAAATCTCTCCAATACCAAAGTTAAAAGGTGTAAGTATATAAATTTGCTCTAACAGAATGAACAAATCATGGTGGCTAAGGATAGACACATTAGATAACAAAATAAAATCACTATCTCTTCTTAACTGAACTCCTATTTCTAAGAATTCTTAGTAACTTATAAAATTTCCAATTCCTAAATGAGGCTAAATGCTTACTTTTTTGATGTATCCAACAAAGTAAATGATAATAGATGATATCACTAAACTGTAATTAATCACCATGAGAGTCAAAGTTGATGCAGTAAATATTTTACAATTTCCATGCTATACAGAATACATTTGGCCGAATAATCCATGGGGTACATGTTGATAGGTATGACCAAGCCTACCAGGTCAATTCAAATACAAAAATATGTGACTAAAGTCTATAAGATAGCATCATGCTGAACAGTTTAGAAGTTGGTAGTGGTTGTTTCAAGAGTCCTGTTTACATGTTTTGGCCTGCTTTAAATTTCTTTCAATCTCTGCCATTGTCAGACCCTCATTCATTTTTCAGGGCTTTACTATGTCAATTTCCTTGCCTACTTTCTCTACAGTGGATGTTCAATCAGAGAAATATTAATTTGGGGACAGAAATGGATCCACCAATAGGCATGTGGCCAAAACAGGCAATCAGAGCCTTTCTTATCCCTGAAATTGATACGTGGGTAAAGAGAATCTTGTTTTCTCTTTTTTTTTCTATAATTCCAAGATGTTACAATGATACATAATTCTGGAGCTCCCAGAGACCTTCCACTTTACCACCAAATGCCAAGAGCCTACCTGAGAATGAAATCAACACAGTGGAGAAAGAGGGAAAGAGGAAAAAAGGAAGTGGCATGGAATGGGAGAGTCAGAGAGGGCAGAAAGAACTTGGAAGAGAGAGGAAAAATGAACAACTTTTTAAATAAATGGCTTCTTTCCAGTTACAAATTGGTGTATTCCATGTCTTTCATTCTCAAGTAGGATATTTCCACAATGGCAACAAAGATGTCCACTGAGTCTAAGCTTCCACTCTCTTTACAACTTGCAATCCCTAATGACAAAGAATAACAAGCATTCTTTCAATATCTATGTTAGTTCTAAAAGAAAATAGGAAAAAAGCCTTCAAGAAATTTTGTTCCAGAGTCAAGGCCATATAGGGATTAAATGAACTTCTTAAGCAGTTCTTCATCTCTACATTAGGCCAGATAAAATATCTGTCCTTATGGATATAAGTATTTCTTACAAATGCACACATCTTGTAGACAGATGAATGAAGAGCAAAGAAAATTTCCTACCTCAATAAGAGATAAATTAAGGATCACTTTTTTTTCTCCCTCAAATTGAAAATCACACAGTCCTATTGATTATCAGTATCTTGCTCTTTCAGAATTACCTTCATTTAAAAATTTTAACTCAAGTTGAATGTGAAGAAATACACTGCAAATGATATATGAGTCAAATATTTTTCTTCCAAAGTACTACTTCTGTTATGATATGTCAAATTGCTTAAAAAATGCATTATCTTTTTGTCCCATGTATATATTTGGTTGTGTGTTTGTTTTCTTTTGTTTTTGTTTTTGTTTTGCATTGTAATGGGTAACTTTTACTAGAACATATCTTATGGGAAGAACGTATTTTCTTTAAATATAAGACACCATTTCTTTGAGATTCTATTAATCATTTTTTTCTCTAAATGAAAAAGTCACCACAAAAGAGCATGAATTTCATTCTTGTAGAAAGAACCTTAAAAATTGACATTTCTTTGAACATTTGTTTCGGAAATCCTTTTTTAAGTACATTTTCATTTTCTGGCATGGCTTGAATTGAATTCTAAAGTTTCTACTGCTTGTCCTCTAAGCCCCTCTGGTGAATTTAAATAGCCTTCCCTATATATATAGTACATTCAAGAATTCTTTGTCGCAGTGCCTACTCTGCTTTATTATTAGAGGGCTGCCTCGGAAGTCCAGCAGCCAGTTTGTTTTCTCTCATTAATAAAGAGTCTACTTTTTTTCCCACTTCTTTGAAGAAGTTGAAAAGGCTCCATGTTGGGTGAAGGGGAGGGCAGGAAGAGAGGGAGAAGTGGAGGGAACCGACTGTGGTGTAATCCTTCAACAAAAAATATTGTCTCATGTAGAAACCTCCCTAACATTTGCAAATTCTCAGACTGGGATTTTAGTGTTAGGTATAACAGACTGATAACAGCCACAAACAGGTCCCTCTACTGCTATAATATTAAAGAGTGTACTATAAGAAAGATATCATATTTTAAAATTCTCCAAAACCATATGCATCAGTTGGCTACTATTTCAACATCATCCCACTTTCTCACTAAAGATGTTCAGAAGCTCAGAAAACAATCACAATGTAATTCTATAGTTTTTATACAGTTCTTTACATATATGTCTACAATAATTCATAGAAGGATTTCAAGAAAGACCTACCAATTTGGAAGAATAAAATATGGATGTTGACTCATGGCCTAGGGAAAGGTAATTCAAAGGCAAGGAAAGATGATTCCATAGAACATTCACTTGATGCTCACAAATCCTCAGACACCTACCAACAAAGAGGGAGAAACTTCTTAGAGATGAATGGTTAAATCTGTCTATATAAAAGAACCAAAAACAGCCCCAAGACAGAGCCCAGGGGTTACTATTCTTACTTGCTCTGCCAAATAGATATAGCCCATGATTGTTTTTATACTTGTTTTCTTTAGGAAATAATTATTAAGGTAGCAAAATCACATTACTCATATCACCTCTGAAACTTTTAGCTCAGCATAGCAGAATTTTTTTACTTTCAAATTGTCCATAAAATATGAATGGAATTAACAGGCCAGTTATATAAAATGAAACTATGCAATCTTAAAATTCATTAATAGTAATTACCTTCATGTTTTAACTGCTTTCATATTTCCACAAATAAAATCTTACATACAAGTTAATATTGGCTGGTTAATGCACTTTGTCTGATAAAGCTACAATTAACATGGATCACTGTAATGAAAAGTAGCAGTGAATGAAAATTGATGCTAGCTTCCTGAAGAAACAAAGTAGATGATTTTATAAAGGTTCTTCGATTTTATAGTATTTACTAACCTAAATTTCTTTAAGAATTGAAGATATCTGTCTATGTATGAATGAACCAGTGTGTGTTCTGTAGCTGATAAAGAAAACTAAACATGGGAATGGCACACAGACAATAATAGCAACTAAATTTCTGTGTACTAAATTTGTATTTGCAGAACTACACTAAAAACTCTATTTTTGAAATGTTTACAAGTGTCTAGGATTTTTTTAAGCTTCTCTATATTAGGAACTTTGTTTTCCTTTTCCAAATACAGTCACTAAAGGATCAGTGGGATTTGAGTGCTAAGTTAAATGCCGACTAAGAAATTAAACAAAAGAATCCAAGCAATCAAAGTGATGCTGTATTTGCTGCCTAAAGAAATATAGGCTGAATTGCATGTGTAAGAAAATTTGGGTGTTAGCTAACCCTTTATGTACTGTATTTCTCAAAACTCACCCAAACATGACAGCCTGTAAATCTGTTTACATATTCAACATGTATTAGACCAAGCTGAGGCATGTGTACCAGGTGCCCATTTGAAGAAGAGTTTAAAGTAGAATATCCTTTTCTAATTTCATAAGTAATTCATTTATACTATAATTTCCCTGAGATACTTATTCCTCTTCTAGACATTATTAATGTAGCCTAGTGCTTAAATGATTTAAATATACCTCTACAAGTCTTTTGTAGCTTCACTGGAATACTGATGTGTTTAGAACTTCTAAACAGAATGATATTGATCCAAAGAATCCTGAAATGAAATATAATAATACATAGATTTGGCAAAATTCCACAGTGGCTTCCTTGATGGATTCTGAAAGGGTTTTAAAAAATGTCACTTTAGAAAATTGATGTTTTCTTTACAGAAAACTAAAGTTAAAAACATGAGAATTACAATATTATCAGAGTAACACAAAAGAGACAAAAGAAAAACTAATACTTCATTGGTCTTTGTTAGATGTTTAAGTTGAGTAATGATTTTTGTTTTTAAACAAAGTTCCAAGTTCACAGTACATTAGCAAACAATATGACACAGAAAAAAATCAAGCAGGGGTTAACATATTTATATAAACAGTGATTTGCTATTTCAAAATTAAAATGTACAAATAAGCTGGTGTCAAAGAGGAGGTGATTCCTCATTTCCACCGCATTGAGCAACCTCACATCGGCAGCAGACAGCCCTTAATGTATGCGTCTGGCTCAGACTGGTCTTCCAACCAAGAAGCCATCGAATTGTTAATATCACTGCTTTTTTTGTATGCAACACACATCATTTTCTTGCTCTTTGTTGCAAATTTCTCCTTTAATTTTAGGCTTAGAATGATCTGATTTTTCAAATCGTATTATAAATCCCCCAAACAATATTATCCTTTGACTACTGAGATAGAAATGCAGAAAAAGTGGCATTCTTCAAGGCACATACAGAATTAAGTAGCATATACACCCGCTTATAGCTATACACACCTTTATGGTATAGAAAAACTTCATCAATGATATCCTCATAAAAGATAGTTCACATAGGAAACATACAGAGAATGTTCAAAGAATGCAAGATTATTAGCAAAAATATGTTACATATTTTGGGGAAAATGAACAAACATCACATTCTAAATTCACCTTTGTTATGTATATTACTTTAATGAAATATAATTGCTACATATTTTGGTTCATTAATGTGATAATATGGAAATTCTTGCATTTAAAATAGCCTGTATTAATATCATTATGGCCAATAAACCTCTATCCCTTACATTATTTTGGAATTAAATTGATGTAATATCATATACATATTTATGGTTATGTTAACACAGGTATCAGGAAACATATATCTGTATATGATGTTGTTTTGTATAATAGGTAGTTTCTGTTCCATTGTGTGAACATTGTTATTAAATATAATTGTTTCTGTGTGCATGCATATACACATACATAGAGTTCTTTGTACTGAGAAACTTATGGCTTTTAAAAATGTTTAATTCCAATATGAATGAGATAAAAAGAAATAAAAGATAAAAAATACTGAAAATCTTTACTGTTTATGTTACCTTCATTCATTTGGAATTTTAAAACATGTTTATAGACAGAGACACACAAAAATTCATAGCTTCTAGATAAATGAAGTAGGTGTTATAAATAACGAATACAGTATAATATATACTTATACATATTCTACATGCCTTGTATAAGTGAGGAGCTTGTTTATTTTATTATTATATTAATTTTTTAGGAAATATACTTATGGGTAATTTGTATTCGTGATATTTAAAATCATAAGTAATTGTAACAAATTCAGGGAAAAAGTGAACAAAGACTCCATATAGTATTCCAAAATACATGCATAAATTTATTTTAACAGTCCAGAAAACAACTTATGGTACCCTTATAAAGCAGTAGAGTTAAAATAAAATGAAATCACTTTATTTCTTTTATTATCAAGTTTCTCATTCCAATTTGAATCTTGATATTAGCAACATTATTATAAAAATTTATAGGCTTAGTATATTCTTTCTCCAAAAAGCATATTTTATGTGGCAATGACTAATAAATATCATACATTCCTTATGGATTGAAGAGTTACTTTTAATAAAATTAAAATTTTTATAAAAGCAAAGCTGTGTAGTTGAGATTCAGTTGAGAGGTAAACCAGGGCAGTTTGGCTTCATAGGTGGCACTTACTGCTTTAACCCACATAGATCCATGTTAGATACAAAAGAAAACGTAAAACTGAAAGGTACTACATTTTCCAAAATTTCTGATAACTCTAATTCTTGAACTCTTTTAATAAGGAATCTGTTAATCCATATGAAGTGTTTTGTTTGACTAAAAGATTGAAGAAAACTCTAGCAATAAATATCAGGTACAAAACAGCATTCTCGTAAAATCTAATAGGGTCAGTAAAGAAGATTGTAAATCATTTTATTTCTAGGCCTCAACCTTGATTAGAGCTGTAGATTACATAGTCAAGAGTCACAATTGTGAGAAGGCATATAGGATTCTTTAAGTAGCTCATGTATATAATTCTATCCATATGAAAAAGTAATAAATATAAGCAACTCTATTCATTAACTAAAGAGATATTTTCTTATACTCATCACCCTAAAATACACCAAAAGAAGCATATGAAAACATTTGTACTTTAATTCTGCTTCTCACACAGATATCTTATATTCCTTTTGTATTATCAATATCATATAATACAAATGCTATTTCAGTGCAACTGTGTAATCACTTTAGAGTATAGTTTCTGACAATAATATTTTTGGGGGTGGGTCATGGTGAAAACATTGCTGATTATAAAAAAAAAGCATTGTTCTTTTCTCCTAGGAAGAATCTATGTATGTTCTTTTGTTCTGATGGTAACTGTAGACAATCAATAAGGTCCAAAGTTGCTGGTTCCCCTCCGCCTAGGTCCCAAGAGCCTGACTTGTGATGTTACTAAAATACCTCACAAGTTAGGGTCTCAGGGACTAGGAAAAGTCTGGTTTGAGGCAGAATTCTTCTTCCAGTAATAAGGAGAGCTTAGAAATCACAGTTGGGTTCAGTTAGACTTTTTTCCTCTAAACACTAATTAAAATACATAAGTAGAAATATATGATATATATATAAGTGAGGATGAGCTAAATAATCATGAAGATGACCGTGTATAGACTAATCCCAGATCTCAAAGTAATGAAGATTATGAGAAACAACGCAAACAATGAACAGTTAAGTCATTCCCTCAGATCCAAAGAAAGAGACTAAAAATGGGTTAAAATCTGCTGCTAGCAGATTTGTTCAGCAACACCATAGCCTCTATTACATTAAAGAAGGATTATAAGCCACTTAATGGGACCTTAATTGAAATTTTGCTTCCCATTACACTTCTATATAGCACAACTGTTAAGGTGGGCCCAGGACATACAACACTTTAAATCTGATTTAAATAGATACCATTGCATTTAAGAATAAAATAAAAACTTTTTTGTATGTCATAATTTAATACCTCTGAAGCTTGATTTTCTCGTTAAATCTCCAAACTATTCAGACAGCAAATATTTCCATGCATAATCTGTAGTTATTTGATGAATGTCACTTAATAAACAGCTAACTTAAAATGCTGGCAACAACATAAAAAAATGATTCTATTTCTTGAATGATTGCATTATAAATCTCAACACTTTTGAAAACACACAATCCCAATCCTGCATATTCACTGAATTTCCTCCGATCTTTTAGCTTGTTTGTGGTTCAAGAACAGAATTTGTACTTTAGGAATGATCCAAGGTTTAGTAGCATAGAACGCAGGGTAAAACAATCGGACCAGCCATAACATAAAAGTCCTGGTCATAGAAGTGGAATCTGGTTCTTCTGAAGTGGTTGATCTTAAAAGAAAAAAGAGGAGGAAAAAAAAAAATGGAAAGAATTAGAATGTTTTCCTGAAGAACAGGTGATTCATCCATTTCCAAGTAAGCTGCAAGGAAAGCTATGCTGAACAAAATATTTGCTAACTGGCCCCCCCTCCTCCACCCTAGTACCACACCCCTTTCCAGCCACCCCCCCACCCCCCAAACCCTGTCCAGATCTTTACTTTGCCTTGCAAGACTTTAAATATTCGGCTCCATGATGTAATACATCATTATATAAGATCACTTTCTGTTTATCATTTGATTTTTCCATGCTGAATAAGTCATGGCTTAAAATAAATAGTTAAAAAAATAAAACAAAAACAGAAAAAGCAGCATTCACAAAAAGCAAAAATATAAAACAGTCCTTAGCTCTAAGTCCATGCTTTTCCTTAAAACTGAATATGGCTTTACAATTTTTGACCATAGCATTCAACCAATTATTAGAATGAAAAATCTCACCCCTCCATAAATATGACATTAACATAATTATACCACCCCCATCCCGGAGACCCATCCTCCTTAGGGAATACATCTGATGCTCCAAAGATGGAAATCAGTCAGATTTTAGTTGCTCTCCAACGTACCTTTGCTTCTCACTGACTGACTGGCTTTTACCCTCCACGCACTCACACGCCACCCCTCCCCTAGGCTAGACACGGATGCCTAGCGAGCACGCGCGCGCACACAGCACCAGACACCCGGCAGAGGCGAGGCGAAGCATCTGATGCTGACTCAGAGCGCTTCTGTGTGCAGGGGGTGGCAGCGGCTGGTATTTTCACCGCGCTCATCATTAACATTAACTCACAGTCTAGCAGCCACCCTCTCCCAGACCTGCTGGACTGCAGCATTTGCATGACGCTGTCACTCTAGCCCTTGCAGGTCAGATGATGGAAGGGTGGGGGGAGAAAAAGGAAAAGGAGAGAAAAGGGGGGAAAAAAGCCTCAAGACTTTCATAAGAAATGCCGTGCTTTCTTCCAGGGTCTCCTTATTTTTCCATTTTTCTACTTCCTCTGTGGCTGTTTCTCAGTTGTTTGACATCTTTCAGGAAGAAAATGTCCTGTGCTTCAGTGAGCCACTCGTCAGTTGGTCCTCCCCTTCCCTCGCACTCCGACCCCCACCCCTTCCCCCTGCTAATCAATAAGACAGATCTCCAAATGCACTTGTGAAAACAGGCTCTGATACAGTCTCCTCCTGGATGCCCTACCTCAGGAAGCAGGCAGCCAGGCTCACACGTGATAGAGAAATAATGCCAACATTACTTTAACAGCCCTAGACTTTATTCTACGCCTTCATTTTTTTTTCCTCCCTTGGCAGAAGAAAGAGCAAACGAATCTTTCCGTTTCTATATGAAACCTCCCAACAGCCCAAGAGACACTAGAGTGAGGCCAGTCTGTAGAGATAATTTACTTCTACTACTAATCATAATAAAGCTATGATTTCAATAAAAGTAATTGCTTCATATTTTTATTAGCTGTGCTCTCATGTCACAGGAATTATAAGACCTGACAAGATATGAATCATCAATATGATTTAAACTGTGTTGAAATCCTAATTTGATGGAATGAAATCAACCAACAGGATATTAGTAAATTTTAATTTCTAAGGGCTTTAAAAATAATAACAAATAGATGTTTGTTGGTGAATATATAAAATCTTTCAGATCTACAAATTTACAGGCTATAAATATTGATTGAATATATGTCTAAAAATATAGATTACATATGTAGAAAAACTACCTACTTATGGATTATTACAAAAGGGAGTAAAATATTTGGCTGAATACAGTTCTGTTTGTGATAGAACAATACAGTTCTGTTTGTTTCACAACACATGAGCCAGTATGTAGGTATTTACCCGGTTTCTTTGTTCTTCTATTCCTCCCTGTAATGACAGAGTATGGTAAATTGTCTACCTTTCCTTTGTACATGAACAGTAGTTTTGAATTACTTGCCAGACAGAGCTAGCCATCAGTGATGCTGCCACACACAAGAAATACATACAAAGGAAAGCAAAGTACACAATCCTGAAGCCAAGTCTAATGCTGTCTGGTGCTGTAGATATTTCAGTTTATGCTCACAGGCAGGTCCCAGCATGCAATGCAGTGCTGCAAAACCAACTAAGGTAGCAGTTTGGTAACAGATCTGTGGCAACAAACATCAAGAATAGCCATTTGCAGAGGTTTTAAAGAAAACAGCACACGACTCACAGAGAAAGAAGCATATGTAGGAGAATATGTATCTCTAAAATCATCTCCTACAGGCTTCTGATTTGAAGGAAAAGGAAAAAGGAAATGACAAAACAAAAAACCCTCAAACACAAAAGGAAAAATAGAAAAAGCACTGAGCACCAGAAGGAAGCATGGAGTTAAGTACATAAGTACATACTTTCATAATATAAGAGAAAGGCTGGAAGGAAAAGACTAAGAGAGGGAAGAAGAGGAAGAAGAAGGAGAAGAAGAAGAAGAAGAAAAAAAAGAACCACAAATGCAAATGGGAGAGAAAGGTGAAGAAAAGGACAGATAGCAAAAAATGATTAAGCACTAAATCAAATATATACATATGAAATTTGATTTCAGAAACTGAAGATTTGGGAAGAATGTTCAAGCTTAGAAGCTAATATGAAAACTGAAATGAAAATTAACACATGCACAGCATAACATGAAATACTTATTGTCAGTAACAGTGAGATGCCTGCTGAATTCTTCCTGTCCTATGTGTGTTAAATCAATCATCACTTAATCTCTTGCTGCTCAGACCTATCTTTTATTTCATTTTATTTTTTAACTCTTCTGCATCTGTCTTTTATTCTATTTTTCTCTAGACAGTTGCCCACAATAGTCTGGAAAAATTAATGTCTTGACCTCACTATGGCTATCAGACATAAAATGTCGACTATTTTAATAATTGAACATGAGTTTGCAGCAACTGCTACTGATATCCCAGCTCTGTCGACTATCTTCATGAGCACTGCATTCCTAGCTCTGTGAATCAGAAACAACAAATTCAGTACAGCCTTTTCCCCCCAATTGATGCTATTTTTTCTACTACATAGAGCTGTATTGAAGCACACATGACTTTGCTCCATAGAAGACATAAAAATGTTAACAGAGGATCTTAGAAAGTCAAGGAAGTAATAGTTCAAAGAAAACTAATAGTTACAACTGAATGGCCACACATACAAAACATTTATGTCCAGATAGGGATTAGCCATTTCCAAGTACCCAGGCTTCTGTTAGGACCAGTAGGAAGACAGAATTAACTAAATCAATATTTATTTGAAAAAGAGATGTTGTAATCAATTAGTTCAATTACCACTGCCATAGATACAAGTTTAAGGTGTTCTCTAATTCTCGACTGGTAATCATTAATTCTAGTGCATTTCTAAATTGGTGTTTATACTTTGACTATAGCGAAAGATTTTACAAAGTAAAATTTTTCCTGTTTTACATTAATTTAAATAATTCAATGTATGTACACCCTTGTTAGATCAACTACTTTTACTTGAGATTTGTTAGGTTAACTTTTTAAAAATAGTCAAGGTAGATCGGAATGTATAGTAAATGACATGTAAAGTTAAAGGAAGTAATAACTATTCTGAAATACTTTAATAAAATCTGCCTACCTTTCATTTCTAGGGCATGAATCTTTTTGTTCCTCCAAAAGCCATTTGAAATCAATGTGATTATAGATATCAAATATAAATTAATAGAGGAAGTTTGAAATAAGGAGGATGGAGGACAAATAATGATCTGCAGTTCAAACTATGACTCAAGATTCATGGATGTGTAGAATATATTACTACTTGAATAATATTTTCTCTGCTTTACTTAACTTGCTTCCTTCAATAATCTTCAACCAGACACATCAGCAATTAAAATAAAAGTTAAAATCAGTTTGCTACATTCCCTAGCCATATTTCAAATGCATAGGAGCACATATGACTGGTGACTACCATTATGGAAAACTTGGATGTAAAATATTTCCAACCTTGCGAAAGTTTTATAAGACAATAATGACTTAAACTGGCCTTGTGAAAAGTTCTATATAGCTGATCATTGGATCCCAATATTTACTTTCCAGTCTCTTTTAAGAGAATAAAACATGTTGATTTATTTGAAGGTATAAAATAGAAAGGAGGTTTGTTGCTCTGTTGCTGTTTTGTCTGAAGAGCATCTAGTGTTTTTATTTACTCTTAGCTTTAAAAGGGAAGGGTTACATAGAAACTTTCAGATTACTGATTTTAAACAAATCAGAATCACAAAAACTGCTCAAGTTAAAGTCTCTGAATATATCTGGGATGTTTGTTTAACCTTTCCAGAAACGAGAGCCATACTCTTTTTAGTGCCAAACAACACACATTACATATTACTGTTTTCCATAAAGAAGAGATGCAGTAGTAATGTCAGCAGCAAAAATGCAGAAAAATAACCTTTTAAAGGAATTCTGCTCATATAAGAAAGTAATAGCAGTAAGAAGCAGAAACAAACATACACTTTTTTCTTTCGTTAACAAAAAGGAAAGAATAATTAAAAGGTGAGGTGGAAAATAATCAGATACCAATGAACTGAGATGATGTGCATGGAATTTTTCTATGAAATTAAACACTAAGAAAGAGAAAATATAATAATGAATTGAAGATGTGAATGTGTGTGTATATACCTTCAAAAGATAATTTTGAGTTACAAATCAGGTTCTAGAACTAATGATTTTGAGCAAAGTTAAAATAAAGCAAAAACATAAATGTATATGAGATATTACTTTAAAAGTTACAGTGAAGAATACAGCTGGTTTTTAAACAAAGAGGGAAATGGGCCTACAGTTTCTTTTAGAATTTTATTATTATGCTAGAGGATGATGCAATGTTGAACTCTCTTTGTGACTGAAGGTTTGTCAACCTGAAAATTACTTTTTTCCTCTCTGTTTTGATATATAAATACAGAGAAACATAACTAACATAGAAAAACAATTACAGAGATTTCTCCTCCTTTAAGGAATGATGTGGTATTTACTCTAATGTTCTTTCATGTATTTAGTAATGCAAAAAGAGCTACTGTAACTTACTGTAGCAAGCTTTTTTCTTCAGCCCTCCTGGCCCTTTTTCTCTTTATCCTTTCCCTTTCCTTTTCTGTGTTTCTGGAAGTGTACAACCCACTTTCTGACCCAGACTGTCATCAATATCCACAAGAGGACCACATTCAAAGCCACATCACAGAAAGTAGATAGGAGGAGAGTAAGGCTAAGACTGGAAATCAGAGCAAGAACACGAATTTGGGAACGGTCTTAAAGGGAAAGTGATGTGCAGTTTTTAGTACAGCACACACAGAAACGAGCAGCTCTGAAGGATGCTGAGGGACATATTTCTTCCAGGGGGAAGGCAGATTAGGATAGTGAGATGGAATGTGACATATAAAAATTATGGCATATCAAATTATATTCAAATGTGGAAGAATATTTTAATAGTTTGCAGCATTATCCATAGAAAAAGTAAATGAATATTTCTGCTGTGTTGATAGGCTTCCTAACAGGTGAGAGAGGAAAAAATCCTTGCTTTTTAAGATGGGATGTAATTGGGAAGGCACTAAATAATATTAAATAACTTCAGCCTTTCTGTTGTATTAGTTGGAACATTACAGGACAGGATCTATAAAAATTAATGTTTTAACAAACCTAACTCTAAAAAATACAATTCTCTGTACAGTAGTATATACAACACCTTGAAACAAAGAGAGAACTGATCTAAGATTCCAGAAAAGTAGCTTTAGTGCCACCTCTACAATTAATAAAGTTTGTGGTCTTGGATAAATCATTTAACTCTCAGAAATTTAGTCCTCTTAATTTTAA